GGGAAAACCAGCCAAGGGTGACTCACGCAGGATTACCCTATCTCCCGCTCCTGCTCCCCGCACCCACGCCACACCCCTGCCGCCTGCCTCCTCCCCCACCCAGGATGGCTGACAGGGGCAGGGGGACAGTGGCACGAGACCCCGTCCCCCCTCTGACTCCAAATGTCCAGCTCCAGGGCCTGGCCATTCATTCATTCATTCCTAAATTCATACATCCATCCCACGCACGTTTGTTGAGCACCTGCTACGTGTCAGGGCGCGTTCCAAGTGCTGAGCATTCAGCTTTGAAGTCAGATGGCCCTGGGTTCTAAACCCAGCTTTTGGCATTTAAAACCTGCGCGACCTCGGGAAAGTTACCTGAGCTCTCTGTTTCCATAAAATGGGGTTGGGGAAGATCTGCCTTGTAAGTCTACGTCTTGGGAGGGTGCTGAGCAATGCTGGACACGCGGTAACAGTGGGGTGGGGAGCGTGCTGGTCTGGCCTGGGCTCTGGGTTCAAATGTCACTTACTCAGAGCCACACAGCCAGTCAATGGTAGAGTCGGCATTCGAACCCAGACCCCAGACCAGCGTTTCATCACCCCACTATTACCTGGTGTCCAAACTGTGCCCTCCCTCCACCTAGCACCGTCCCGGTACCTTGGTCTGCTACCCCCAGCTTCCTCTTCCTCCTAAGTTATTGTAATTATACTCACCATTATATAGTGCTTACCATCATTTATTATTTCATCATTTAATCCTCCCAACAACCCCTATTATCACCCCCATTTTAGGACCTACTATCTGCTGGGGCCCTGGGCAGAAAGATTTTCACATAGGCTCTGGTGGATTAGAGGTCAGGCTCTAAGTACAGACAGCCCAGGTTCAAATCCCAGCTCTGCTGCTAACCCGCTGCCTGATTTTTAGGAAACCGCACTCCGTTTCCTTCTCTCCATCTATAAAGAGATGCTAATAAGAGTGCTTGAGGGTTAAATGCTGAGAGATGTACTAAGCGCTTAAAATAGCCCCTGATCTGTGTTCACTGTTCTAAGTCCCGTTTTACAAACTAGGAAAAAGAATCACGGAGAAGTTAAGTAACCTGCCCGAAGCCTCACAACGGAGATCAAAACCCCTGGGCTATAATTGTGCCCCTTCCTGTGCCAGGATCCACACCCAGCCCCCACCCCCCCAACCCAAACATTCTCCCCACCCGAGTCCTTCCAGAGTAAAACCGTATTTCGTGGACTCTAAGACCCACAGTTTTCTCGTTTTCCACATTGGGGATGCTCTAACCAGGGACGAGGCGTTGTGCTGTGAATGACAAGTGATGGTATCTTAAAATAGTGCTGGGGGGATGGAAAAGTTCTGGAACTAGGTAGTGGTCATGGTTGCACAACATTGTGAAGGTGCTTAAAGGCCACTGAATTGTACGCTTTAAAATGGCTTAAATGGTAAATTTGATATTTTAATTTACCATTTAAAAAATCGACGATGGTGAAATAGAGAAAATACGGTAAGAGAAGCAGGAAATACGGTAATGACAAGTGCAGTGAAGGCGCCCCTGGGGCCGGACGGGGTTGCAGACTCATCCCGGATGCCCTAACCTTCCTCCCCTGCCCCGACCCCTGGGGGCTCGGGGCCTCCGCTTGCAGGAGCACGCCCAGGCCCCTGGCCACCCTGTCTAGCCTGGGGGCGCCGGGGTCTGACCTGCCCCTGGTTTCGGCCGCAGGAACCGAGACGGTCGACGTGCATGCGCCGGCCCAAGTGCGTGGCCTCTTGGGCGGCAACGTGACGCTGCAGTGCCACCTTCAGCTACTGGATTCCAGCGTGCAAGTGACGCAGGTGACGTGGATGCGGCGGCAGCCGGCAGGGCAGCCCAGCAGCGTGGCCGTCTACCACCCATCTCGGAGCCCCTGGTACTTGGACCCGGAGCGGGTGGAGTTCGTGGCCGCCATGTCCGGCGGCGAGCTGCGCAACGCGTCGCTGGTGGTGTCCCAGTTGCGCGTAGAGGATGAAGCCAACTACACCTGTCAGTTCGCCACCTTCCCGCACGGCAGCAGGAGCGCCAGTACCCGGCTCGACGTGATCGGTGAGCAGGAGACGGGTGGGGGCGAAGGAAAGCAGTGGCTGCGGGGGGAGGAGCTGGGAGGTGGCAAAGAGGCGGAGAGTCTGGGAGGGAGGGACAGTCCTTCCACTGCCGGGACAAAAGGAGAGCGGGGCAGTGGTGGGGGTTCAGAATGGGAGGAGGCTGTGGGGTCCCTGCTGGGCAGGCGAGAGTAGAGATCTTCCGGAACAAAGATCTTCTGGAAGACTGAAAGCAGAATGTCCCAGGGGCGTGGGGGAGGGGGACATTGGGAGGGACCTGGGAAGCAGGGAGACCTGGGTGGCTTCTTCTGGGTCCCTCCTTTTCTCTTCCGTAAAAGGGTAGGTGACAATAGTGCCACCTTGAGAAAGCTGCCCGGTCCTGAGGGTCCTGGTGGGTTTATCCAGATGAAGCGCTTAGAACAGAGGTGTCGCGTGGGCTGGCCCACGCGAGCTCCTTGCAGCTGTCAGTTATTGTCACTCCCTTTGGTGAGGACGGAGGAAGTTGAAACAGAGACAGGTGGGACAGCAGCGATCCTGGCACCCCGCGGAGGACTTTCTGGCTCCCTGGAATGAGGGGTTCATTTACACAAGCACCGTAGTGTCCTCCTCTTGGAACTTGAGCAAACAGTGTCTGCGCCCCAGTGTCCTCAGCTGTGGGCTGGGAATCGCCATGAGGATTAACAAGAGCTGACTTTTTTCTTTCTTCTTTTCGGCTTATGTGCCAGGAACTGTTCCAGGCCTGTGCATGAGGAACTCATGATGTCAAGGGCTCGGAATAGTTCCTGGAACTCAATGCCAAACCAAAAGCAGCTCTTGTCACTCCAGCAAGCCTGGGTTTCCAGGCATTACGGTTTAAGAGGAAGGTAAAACAGAAACTGTGAGTCAGATTAAGGAGAAATCTTAAGTAAATATTAACACAGGTAATGATGGTGGGGAGGGGGGGAGCTTAGCAAAGCCCCAGGTTTGGGAGTCACCAGAATGGTGGTTTCTTGGTCAAGGTGGTTTTGGAGTCAGACAGACCTTTTGCTTATAGCTGCGTGACCTTAGGCCAGTCCCCTCTCAACTTCCAGTCACTTTGCTGCTCAGCCCTCCTCTCCTCCACAGAGCCCTCCCTGACCCCCAGCCCCAGGCTCAGGCACCCCCATCCCAGCCCTGCCCGCTCTGGGTCATCGCTGTCTAGGGAAGAGTCTGCCTTCTCCTTGGACTGTGTACCCCGTGAGGGCAGGGCTGGGGCTGTCTCGGTCATTGCTGGGTCCCCAGCACTGCCCATCAAATAACATTTATTGAGCACTTATTATGTGCCAAGTGCCTGCATATTCTCATTGCCTGTGACCCCATCATTATCCCCGGTTAAGAGACAAGGAAACTGAGGCATAGACTTGCCCAAGGCCACCCAGCTGCTCAGGGACAGAGCTGGGGGTGGAACCATGCCATCCTATGCCCTTACTGAACACCCCTCTTCTGCTGCTGAGGGGTTTGTTGGATGACTGCCGGTGCAGGGTGATCTGTCCCTTTTGTTCCTCTCCCAGCCCAGCCCCAGAACACAGCTGAGGCCCAGAAGGTCCCACCTGGCCTGTTCACCTCGGAGTCTGTGCCCGTGGCCCGCTGCGTGTCCACAGGGGGTCGCCCACGAGCCCGAATCACCTGGTCCCCAGACCTAGATGGAAAAGTCAATAAGAGCGAGGCGCCAGGGCCCCTGCCCGGCACATTCACCGTCACCAGCCTCTTGACCGTGGCGCCCTCAAGCCAAGTGGACGGCAAGAGTGTCACCTGCATAGTGGAGCACGAGAGCCTTGAGGAGCCTGACTCGCTGCCAGTGAACCTCACCGTGTACTGTGAGTGTGCCCAAGTGGGGGTGAGGGCGAGAGCTGCTGCCGGGCCACCTCCATCGCCCCTTTGTCTACACTGGCTCCCCAGGCCACTGTTGACATGTCTCTATCATCTACACTCGCTCTCCTGACTACTGTCTACACACCCCCCCGCCCCCATCGTCTACACCAGCTCCCCTGGGCCACTCACAGCACTGTCCCTATCGTCTATACCAGTCAGTGCTGCTACCCAGGTCATCTACCCTGGTTCCGCCAGCCACTGTCTACACTGATTCCCCACACTGTCTACACTGGCTTCCTTGCGCACAGTCTACACTGCCCCGGCTCTCCATCGGTGTCACCTCCACTAGCACCTATCCAACAGGGGCATTTGTGGGATTTTAGATTTAAAGTAGCCACCCCCATTAAACAAATTAAAAGAGATGAAATTATTATAACGTTAATAATTGATTGTACTTCACCTAATAGATCCAAGATATTATCACGTCAACATATAACCCATTTTTTAAATTATTCATGAGATCTTTCACATTCTTTTTTTTTTTGAGACAGAGTC